TAGACTGGATTACTGTAATTCTGTATTATCTGAGCATCTAAAAAAGGTTTAGCACGTTTTTAGGTTGTGTTTTTGTTCACTCAGTATGCTCACCCTCATGTAAAACTCCCGRCCATCGTTGCCTGACTTTATCTGGAAGATATAGAAGGCGCCAGGGTAACGTGTGGTGGCCTGCATCTGGAAGATGTCTGCAGGCACACTGCGCCCTGAAGACAAGTCCATGTGTCGGTACAAAATGGTGAAAGGCCTGTTCCTGCAGGCAGGGTTCTCAGCTGAACACATGCACTGACTGCAGAGCAGAGGACAGGAGGTTAAATGTTTCAGAACACACTACGTTTCTAAATAAAGGAATGTGTTGGATGGCTGGAACAGAACTCACTTGTCACTAACTGCGATGTAAGGAAGCTGACACTGTAAAGGGTCCAGGCAGGTAAAGCCTCCCTGGAAATTGAAACACACTTGTTCTGATGTACAGGTGTTGTTACCAGTGTCACATTCATTGATATCTTTGAAATCAAACACACAACAATGAAAGTCAGTTAGGGCATCAGCATCATCAGAACCACAACAAGAAGAAACCAACAACATCCAGTAGAGAGCACCAAGTCATTTTCTGTTCAGTTTTAATAGTTTTGTTTTCAAAGCAGAAATGTGAAGCTGTGATTTCAAACACATTCATGCAAAACAAAAACAACAAAAGAAARACACTGAGAATATTTTATAACAAAGATTTGCAGCATAAATCACATTTTCTATTTTCCACTGTGGGCTTTACCTTCACAGTTCCTCCCATCTTCATATAAATAATATCCAGGTGGACAGATGCAGGTGAAGGAGCCGGGGGTGTTCACACATCTGTGCTGGCACAGAAACTCTGAGAAACTGCACTCATCCAAGTCTGAAGAAAATATACAAGTTCGACTTGTTAGAATGGGACTGAAGGGAAACGTGTCTGATTAACTGAGTTTAGGAGACGGTCTAAACTGTGATTCATTGATTTACAATCTGTTTACAATGATTCTGTCGTGGTCATCCTCAACAGAGTGAACTTAAAAACCCTAAAAACATGAACAAAGTGTTGCCTTCAGGCCCAGACCTCCAGGGCAAAATCTGCAATCTCAGTGGGATCACACASCTTTCACAAGATGACAGATAGCATTATTTTATTTGTCTTCAGGTTTTAGATGGTTGTGTAACGAGTCTTTTCACTGGGTAGAGTGAAAAATCAACGTGATGTCCTGCTCCTGAGGAGAGGCCAGACCCAGAAGAAAATGTGTTCATTTGTTTGGATTCTTTCCCAAAATATCCTAAGACTGAGAAAAGGTCTGTATTTCAACAAGTTTTTTGTCCTATAATGTTTGTCAGTATAATTTGTACAAAAGCAGGCTCTTAAAGAGCTTAACACTAAGTGCTTAATTAAACTGGTCCATGATTTTGTCATTTCTGAGCTGGTTTATTGTAGTTATTTTATTATCTGGGTGTAAAGTCTTTAAAAGGTTTCCAGCTAATCCAAAATGCTGCTGCCAGAGTTCAGTTTCTCCAGTTTATCTTGTTTCTGCTGACTCCCTCTCAAATTCAGTACAYAATTTAAAATCTTACTTCTAACATATAAAACTTAAGAAGCAAGCTCCATGTTTATCACCCACGTTTGAAATGGTGGAATCACCTCCATGTGTCTGTTCATGTCTCAGGAAGAGTGGGGAGGATTTGGTTGTAAATCACAGGTCAAAGTGAATGGATATATGACTAGAGCTGATTACGTTTTAGAGCCAATCAAATCCAAGATAGCCAAGTTCAACCTGGTGAGACTGACAGGTGATCTGCATTCAGCCTGGAATGTTTGGCCTTCAACGTATCAAACATCTTATTGTTCCATCCTTTCCTAACAGAGCACTTCACTGTCAGACTGCAGGTTTACTTGTGGTTCCTGGAGTTTCTAAAAGTAGAATGGGAGGCAGAGCTTTCAGTTATCAAGCTCTTCTCTTGTGGAACCAACTTCCAGTTTCTGTTGTGTAGTGTGCTGGAACAACTTTACTGTAACTGGGTCAAAATGATCAAACAAGAACTGTATAAACCTGCTTTCTTTTCCTACATGCAACAATTATGCCTTATAAGGTGTGTGTGTAGAATCATGTAAATTTGAGCAGTTTAGTGGTTTTACTCTCCAAAACCTGAAATGTAAGAGTTAAAAAGGCAGATAAAAGTGCTCACCAATGCAACTTGTGCCATCAGATGCCAGCTCAAAGCCCTCATCACAGTTACACATGAAAGAGCCGTAGGTGTTAAAGCAGCCGTGAGTGCAAGGTTCYTCTTCACACTCATCCACATCTGGGTGGAGAACAGAGAGAGGAAGTCAACAGAGCTGGTCCAGAGGATCAAAACATGTGACACAACAGTACAGAGCTGCGCCTGTCACGTCACATTTTCTAATAAATTATGAATGTGTTTTTGGGAAGATAAGACTGATGACCTATTGCAAAAAAAAATACACTGCAGAGATGAACAGTTGTTAAAGTGGTGATATTATGTGCTTTCCAAGCCTACATTTCAATTTTATACTAAAATAAAGTAACCATGTCACATTTTCAGCTTATGAAAGAGCTATGTTTGTAAAAATCCCCAAAACAATTTACTTCTCATCTTGACAGTTTCTAAATGCCTTGAAATAGGTCTCTGTCTCTTTAAGAAAATCCAACCACTTTGGCCACGCCCATTTCAGCACCTAGCCTGCCGTAGTTGTGGGGGGAGGGGGTGTCGCACATACGCTATGATGCAGTTTAATGTTAACTAATGTTGAGAGCTCAGCAGACAGTTAGGTTTCACTTTCACTTTCACCTGAGAGCCTGCAGGAGTCATGGGCGGGGTGTGTGGGGAGGGGGGAGGGGCTGCACTCTGCCATGAGGAAGTTCAGCTTAAAGACACGTCCCAGAGGCGTTTCTGGTACTAAAAAGGCGTTTCTGGTCCCCACCTGC